CTTCATTCAATGCACCAAAGAGTATAATACACTCCCCCACTTCACTGCATGCCCCACCTGATATGCATGCATGGAAGAGCAACAGGACCACCGACCTCATTCATCGCATGCACACACACGCATGCATGGGAGGACACAATATATGGCTCCTGCAAAATCTATCCAAGTTTGCCTCTCTGTTCGTTTACCTATCTTCTGTTCATTTACTCATTGGTACATGAGGGTAATTCAGGTGGACAATGAAATTTTTTACTAAAGGCCTCACTCAAATGGACGACTGTGGCAAATATGTACCGTGCCTTTTGTTACTGAAATTTAACCGCTATAAACTACCATGCCTTTTGCTATTAAAAAATAAACGATGTAAATTAAGCTCATGAACAGTTTTAGCAGTCCTCTCTCTCTAATTTACTCTGGCTTCTAACCTGTGCAGGAAGCAAAAGCAGATCACCGCGCGCTGAGCAAGGAGATGGATGATGGAGAGGGGTCTGTCCTGCTCTGGCACAGTCCATGCTTGGAATAACGCATGCATTGTAAATTTCTCTTGTGGTAGTAACTTTCCTATGCATGTAAGGACATACAATTTTTATCTTAACTCTTTTACTTACCCACTTTATTCAATGCACCAACCTGTGAGCTGGATGACCGTCAATCTGAGCAAGGAGATGGATGATGGAGGGGTCTGTCATGCTTTGGCACAGTCCATGCTTGGAATAACGCATGCATTGTAAATTTCTCCTGTGGCAGTAACTTTCCTATGCATGTAAGGACATGCAATTTTTATCCCAACTCTTTTACTTACCCACCAAACTGTGAGCTGGATGACCGTCAATTTCCTATCGAACGTTCCACTCAAATGGACGTTATGTGGACACCTTGGGAGGCCGCCTAGACGGCGCGGCCTCATATTTCTAATTAGATCGTACATTGTGTCCTACAGAAAGGCACTCAGGCAGCAAATTAAGCCAAAGATCTGGTGCTGCAGATCACGTACATACGTACATAGTGTCGTGGACGATCGGGCCAGCTGATCGATGCGTTCGTGTGCATGCATCAAACAGTATGATCAGCTGGTGAATTAGGGTATGTTTGGTTCTAAATAAGTCACCTACTTATAAGTTAAAAAGTAAAATAAATGACTTATTTTACCAAATACTATCAACTTATAAGTCACTCCTACTTATAAGTTTTAAGTTGGTTCACCTCTGCTTAAAACTTATAAGTCACCCTTTTCCGCGTAGGGCCCACACCTTTAATAAGCTTATAAGTCATCTACAATCAAACAAACATGACTTATAAGTTACTGATTTTCAGTCACCTGACTTGATAAGTCACCTCACTTATGGAAAACAAACAGGCCCTTAGACGGTCTGCCTCTGGCGCCGCGCGCCTCCATTTCTTTAAGGAGCATGCAGATTGTGTACACAACAAGATCGTATCATTATTACCAAGGTTATTAGGTGACAAATAATGCGATCCAGCTCCTCTACCTTTTGTGTAGTGTGCTTCTTAACGTGGTACTAGCAGCTACTCACTGCTCCTATGTCCCTTTTGAACTGTCGATTTCATTTCGGAGAAATCAAACATATTCAACTTGGATCAAATATATATAATATATTAATATTTATTATACACAATTACTATCATTAGATATAGATCGTTGAATCTATTTTTATAATAAACTTATTTGGAGATACAACGAATACCATAGCTACACTTAAAAGGAACAGAGAGAGTAGGTGTCGCATCAAGGTTATTTTTAGAGTATAATATTGAGGTACAATCTCATCTCATCATGGACCCATGCGTATCTTCTTTATTTTGGTACTACCATATAATATTAGCTGCACTGTTGACGAGGGTGAGTTGAACAAAGTAGTGAAACAGGCATTTATTTGATAATAATATTAACATTTTTCTTATATTTATCTAGGTTTATACAAAATAATATCAACATTTATATGTCTAAATAGGTCTATTAAGAACATATGATTCATTGTTTATATCTAATGATACTTATTATGCATTATAAATATTAGTAGTATTTTTTTGTATATGATTCATTGTTGAGAAGTGATAATGATATTTACTTATTATGTGTTGAGTTTGGGTACCTGAAATTGATTAGCCATATGAATACAATTATCTTAAAATGTATGTATAGTTTCAAAATAAAGAAATACTTTCTCGCTATATTTTTGTAACAAAAGGTACCTAAACCAAACATACAAGTAATGTTTTGGAGATGGTGTCCATGTCCAAATCGATGTGGAGTACAAAATGCCAACAGAAGCATGCATTGTATTTGTATATCCTGATGTTGGGCGATTTTTCTTGCAATAAATTTATTGATTTTAATTTGGGTGCAGCGAACATAAATCTTTCTAAATTGACCACGCACGTTGGGCACGTATCTCAGGAACAGAGGTAGAAAGGCTACTACATAGCCATAAAGGGCGCAACAGTACTACAAGTTGTCACATACGTATGTACTAGGAGTATATATGGCACGTGAGAATTCCTAACGTGCCCAAACACAGAAACACAAGCCTTACAGAAAAGCTGCAGCCATATGGCACAGAAAAAATATTTGAGTCGTGTCAGCAGTGAGTCGATGCAATGCCGCCATTTACTCAGTCACTCCTACGTACGTTTTACAGGCACCGTAGGGAGACCATACGAATATAGGATCCAAATAATAATCGCAAAAATAATTTTTAAAATTCAGATACTACGGGCGCGTGTCACTAAGTCACTTGTTTTTCACTTACCAAAAGTATAATCCGCCCCGTTCGCTTGGCTGAAATCCAAAGCTGAATTATTGTGAGAGAAAAACTTTGTTCCGGCTGAAAAAAGAAGCCGAACAAACCGGCTTTTAAGGTAAGCCGAACGGGGTCTTTGTTGAACCCTGCAATTTTAATACAAAGTTTTGCTTCATGTAATTCATATCATGATCGGACATACCTTTGGTTCAGCACACATTAGTCCCTGCTAGAGTTGGGTCCGAGACTAATATCAGCATTAGTCCCGGTTCCAAGTTACCAACCGGGACTAATAATGTACTAAAGAGTCTTCCACGCGTTATTAGTTCAAAAGGAAGGCCAACGTCTGGATGGGAACGGGCTTCGGAACCATGTCCCCTGTTCGCTTGAGCTTATTCAGCACTATTTTTTAGTCATAGAATAGTGTTTTGCTCTCACAATATTTCAGCATAAGAATCAATATAAGCAAACAGGGTGTTAGTTAGTATGGATGAAAACGGATCGGATACGAACGGATATCACTGATATTACATTTGTTTTCATATTTCTGTCCGGATTCGGATTCGAATACGGATATTGTCAACCATGACGGATAGGATACGATTGGATATCGACATCGTAAATATGCGATTTGATTATTCGGATACGGATACGGTATCGGATGTTGAATATCCGGACTCGGATACAGACAGATTTGAACTCCTCTAAACGAATTCGGTCTCGAATACGGTCGGAAAATATCCGTACCGTTTTCACCCCTATTAGTTAGCCACTGCTCCCCCTAGTCGCTTTTCCTGTTGCCGTATAGTAGCGTACTATATTGTCGGCAGCGTCTAGCACCATGGCAACTTGCCGAACAGTGCTAGTCGTTTTGTAAAACTCTATTGTCTCTTTTTAATGAAATACGTGCTAATCACGTTCTCGAAAAAAACAAAGTCACATGTGTTGTAGGTGCAAGGCAATGTATGAGGTCTCGGGTTCAAGTCCCGCGAATCCTCAGTGGTGAGAGGCTTATGCCATTTTTTTTAGCCTCGTAGACTCAGACAATTGGAACTAAAGGGTGCCCACCTTTAGTTCCGGATCCCTAGTTCTGGTTTGGAAAACGGGGACTAATTAAATCCTTTTACCAACTGAGACTAAAGCTATTTTTTTCTACTAATGTACATAAAATTTATCTTTAAGGATAACTACTTATTGAGGTGGCCTTCTTAAGAGATCCTAACTAAAGATGTATTTGTAGAGCCGGTTCTTTTTTAGACTGTCTTTATAAATGAGTCGACCATCACTGGAATTCACTATAGGCTTTTTTCAGAGACACGCGGTCACTTGTTTTTGATCTTTTTTAACTGTGAATAATAGGGGCTGCTTTTTATTGTTTTTTAGTAGACAATCGATCTCAGTGATGTAAAGTACACCTAATAATCAGCCCATCTGGTGCTGAATTTTGAAGGAACTTTCTTTATGAGAAGTAATATAATGGATCTAAAAAGCTATCGCAGGACCTGTGTAATCATGAGTACTTGAGGTAATGGCTATTTTCCTGCCTAGCTAGCTCAGAATACAGAGCAAGCGTGATCATGCATGTTGCATTGGTGGTGTGGTGTGACGAAGCGGCACGGCAATGCATGGTTGATCCTAGCTTGCTACCGTGCCTACCTCATTGCCTTGGACGTACGGAGCGATGATCATCGTGTGTCTTGAGATATATACGGATAGATGAGCTAGCATGAACGACAATCAAGTAGCTAGTAGCTTAGTACGAGATATATTATGCTATGCTAAGCTTGAATTGGTAGGTAGCTAGTTGCTGATCTCCATAGATTACTATTAGTGTGTGTGACGAGGCGGCGGGGCAGGCGGTGGCGTCATCGCTGGGCCCGCCGGAGCGGTGCAGCGACGTGTCGGTGGAGGCGGACGTGGAGCGGGCAGTGGCGTGGCACGGGCGCCTGGACGTGCTGTGCAACAACGCCGGGGTGCTGGGGCGGCAGGCGCGCGGGAGCAGCAGTATCCTGGCGCTGGACGCGGTGGAGTTGGAGCGGGTGGTGCGCGTCAACGCGCTGGGGATGAAGCACGAGGCGAGGGCGATGATCGCGGCGGGAGCATCGTGTCGGTGCCCAGCGTGATGGGCGGCATGGGACCCCACGCGTACACGGCGTCCAAGCACGCGCTGGTGGGGCTCACCAAGAACGCCACGGCATCCGCGTCAACTGCATCTCGCCGTTCGGGGTGGCCACGCCCATGCTGCTCCACGCATGGCGTGGCAAGCTGCAGGACAAGGATCAGGAGGATGGAGGAGCGGCGGCGGGATCGGAATCGGAAGCAGCTGCAGCCGCTGACGAGCAGGAGGAGGTGGTCCGCGGGCTGGCCACCCTCAAGCTGCAGGGCACCACGATGAGGGCCAGCGACATCGCCGAGGCGGCGCTCTTCCTGGCCAGCGACGACTCCAGGTACGTGTCCGGCCACAACCTCGTCGTCGACGGCGGCGTCGCCACCGCCAGGAACCTCACTGGACTGCAATGTGTAATGTATGTAGTTCATTTTCATTCATCCTGCTGGATTGGTTGGTCGGAAATTCGATCGGTTCCGAAGAATGGCAAACGACAGTACGTATGATGGTATGATCGATGCATGGATGGATTGACCGATCGATCGACCTGCTGCCCAGCCTCCCTCTCTGATTTGTGATTGATTACTAGTATTTCCTTAACTTTCCTGCTTGTTGGTTATTGCATTTGGAAGGCTGGTCATCGAATAAAAGCTGCTTGTTTCGAGAATCAGAATCATAGAAACAACAGACAATCATTCGTACTACACGTAACATATATATATGCACGCAATGTCGCTGTCGTCTCAACAGGATCGGACAGCTGCCCGCCCGCCATTTGCAGGGCCGTTTGTTTGTTTGTTTGTTTGTTTCGGTCTGCAGATGGAACCGACAAACAAACAGCTCATAGCTATATCCTGATGATGATGATGATTAGAAGAAGCTTTCACGCGCCTCGAATTTGTCCTCCCATGATCCGATCCGATCCGATGTTGTGCTTAGCTCAGCAGAGCTCAAGACGAAGCAGACGGTTGAGTCGCTGTCATCAGTAGCTACCAACAATGTCACTGCACGAACGATAGTAGAGAATAGACCTTTGATCCTTGGTCAAATTAGAATCTAGTCCTGTAATTTTTTGCGTTCGGGACTGGAGATACCTTTAGTCCTGGTTGGTGGCTCCAACCAGAACTAAAGGTTCCTGCCCAACGGCTACTGCGCCAGACAGAGATGGCAGGGACCTTTAGTCCCGGTTGGTGACTTCAACCGGGAGTAAAGGTCTACTCCCGGGCCGTGGCTGTGCCCGAGGTTGGAAAGTTACCTTTAGTCCCGGTTGGAGCCACCAACCGGGAATAAAGGTCCCCCTTTATATCCCGGCCGTCTCCTTCTTCCTCCCCGAGCCCGAGCTCAGCATATTTTGAAGCTCACTGCACTAGTGTTCTTGCTTCCTCCCTCTATTGTTCCTCCATCCATTCTTCGATTCCTCCGTCGATTTCTTCGATTTCTCCGTCGATTCTTCAGTTGTAAAGGTTACCAATCTCATACTCTCATTTTTCACCATTGTCTTATCTCATTTTGTTCACTATATATATAGTTCTTTATTGTGGTTTTTTTCATTTGTAAGCAATTTGAGCTCAAAATCACTTTAAGCTTGCATATTTACATGAAAGAAGGTTAAAGTAGCTAGTTGAACTTGCGGACCGTGTTCATCTCGGCGAGCATGTTCTCTGCCGAGCGGTAACGGACGTCAAGGAGGAGCTTTGATTCTACGAGGGAGAGCGGCAATGACCGTGAAAGACCGTGTTCCCTTCCTCGTAGAATCGGAGCTCTTTCGTGGCCAAGTACGGTGCCGTCCGGTGGAGAAATGCTCGTCGAGATGATCACGTAAGCAAGGTCAACTAGTACGGATGATTATTTATTCACACGTTCCGATATCGTCGCAGTAGTCTGTCAATCACCGTACCCAAACGTAGTATATATATAAATATAAACGATAATCGATTGTTATGTGTGTACACTCCCATTCTTTCATTAATTTGCGAAAATATCATGTGAATTACTTACCGCCGCAAAGAAAAGACGAGAACACAATGACCATGGCCACGGCAAGCGAGTAGTGTTAAACGCTCTGGAAACCTTTAAACTTCAAGCTTGCATATTTACATGAAGGAAGGTTAAAGTAGCTATTAAAAACTAGTATTCACCGTTCATTTGTAGCATGCATAGCACGCTTCATTGTTTAGAGATATAGAGAATTTTAGAGTTTTTTTAATTTTATTTGTTTATAAAATGAGAAATTTATAGTGTATTAAAATGAGTATAGAGAGTAGATGGCAATCGCTTAGGGTCCTCGGCCTCTCATGGGTTTCCAAAGCGACTTAGGCGGGCCTCCCACTCATTGCATGCGACAAGTGTTGTGATGAGACGAAGATTGTGATGGAGTACCGAGTGAAGAAGGAGGGTCCCAACAAGGGTCGCATTTTCTACAAGTGTCCGGATCGCAATGTGAGTTATTTTATCGTATTTAATGACTATGGTTAGTTTATACCTATTTTCATGATGGTTGTGATTAAAGTTATAATTTTATGTTTTAATTTCAGTAGGATGACACTGGATGTTCAGGCTTCTACTGGGAGGAAGAGTATGTTGAACTCATGCAAAAATATCTTGCATAACAGGCAGATATGACGGCTAATGAGGCAGTGATCCAGCCGAAGAAGCCTAAAGATGTTGAACAAGCGGGGGATCTGTCTGTTTTAGTTGGGATTGGTCGCGAAATCCTTGTGCTGCTGAAGTACATTTTAGCTTTAGTGTTTTTAGTGGTAGTTGGGATTATCTACATTATAGCGAGGATTTCTTAAATTTATAGTTTTTATGGTGATATGCATGTTGTATAATTAACTAATTATGTTCTAGGTTTTAATACGGTATTTATGTCATGTAATACAGATGAGTCGACATTAGATGTACAATGCTGATCGTCGCTCCCAAGAGTTCATGGACGGCGTGCATTCTTTGTTACGTGCGGCCGAGGCAAACAAACACGATGGTTTCATGTGCTGCCCATGTGCCGTATGTAAGAATACGGTGGAATATCCTTGCTCAAGGACTCTTCATTCACACTTGTTCAAGTCGGGTTTCATGCCAAACTATATTTATTGAACGAAGCACGGAGAAACCGGCGTTGTAATGGAAGAATGTGAAGAAGAACAATGGGACGACAATGATATTATTCCCGATGGTGCGTGCTTCAATGATACTGCAATGGGAGAAGCTGAAGAAGAGGTAGCCACAGAAGATGAGTCTGCTGATGATCTTTGTCAGGTCATTCGGGACGCATAAAGAGAATGTGAAAGTGAAAAGGAGAAGATCAAGTCCGAGCGGATGCTAGAAGATCACCAGAAATTGCTGTACCCAACTTGTGATGTAGGGCAGAAAAAGTTGGGAACCACACTAGAATTGCTGTAATGGAAGGCAAAGAATGGTGTATCTGACAAGGGATTTGGAGAGTTACTAAAAATCCAAAAGAAGATGCTTCCGAAGGATAATGAATTGCCCGTCACTACCTATGAAGCAAAACAAGTTGTCTGTCCTATGGGGCTAGAAATCGAGAAGATATATGCATGTGCTAATGACTGCATCCTCTACCGTGGCAAAGAGTACGAGAAATTGGATGCATGCCCGGTATGCCATGCATCGCGGTATAAGATCAGACGAGATGACCCTGGTGATGTTGAGGGCGAACGTCCGCGGAAGAAAATCCCTACCAAGGTTATGTGGTATGCTCCTATAATACCACGCTTGAAACATCTGTTCAGAAACAAAGAACATGCAAAATTGTTGCGATGGCACAAAGAAGACCGTAAGGTAGACAATATGTTGAGACACCCTACTGATGGGTCCCAGTGGAGAGCAATCGACAGAGAATTTCCGGAGTTTGCAAATGACGCAAGAAACTTAAGGTTTGCTTTAAGTACAGATGATATCAATCCTTTTGGAGAGCAGAACAGTAGTCATAGCACTTGGCCTGTTACTCTAAGTATCTACAACCTTCCTTCTTGGTTATGCATAAAGCGGAAGTTCATTATGATGACTGTGCTCATCCAAGGCCCGAAGCAACCTGGCAATGACATCGATGTGTACCTGAGACCACTTATTGATGAACTTCTCATTTTGTGGAATAAAGAAGGTGTACGTGTGTGGGATGAGTACAAACAAGAACACTTTGATCTGCGAGCATTGTTGTTCGTAACAATCAATGATTGGCCTGCTCTAAGTAATCTTTCAGGACAGTCAAACAAGGGATATAATGCATGCACACACTGCTTCGATGATATTAGAGGTGTATTCTTGAAAAAAATGTCTAAAGGTCATGTACCTTGGCCATCGTCGATTTCTTCCTGCAAATCACCCCGTAAGAAAGAAAGGCAAGCATTTTAAAGGGAAGGCATACCACCTGACCAAGCCTCGCAACCGAACCGGTGAGGATGTACTTGATATGGTCAATGATGTGAAAGTCATCTTTGGAAAAGGACATGGCAGCCAACCTGTTTCGAACGACGCTAACGGTCACGCACCCATGTGGAAGAAGAAGTCCATATTTTGGGAGCTACCCTATTGGCAAGTCCTAGAGGTCCGCAGCTCGATCGACGTGATGCACCTGACGAAGAATCTTTGTGTGAACCTGCTAGGCTTCATGGGTGTGTATGGAAAGCCTAAGGACACATTTGAAGCACGACATGACCTGCGTTGTTTGAGAGAAAGAGACAACCTGCATCCAGAGAAGACAGATGATGGACGCCATTACTTACGTCCTGCCAGCTACACTCTAAGCAAAGAGGAGAAGGAAATTATGTTTGAATGCTTAAACAACATCAAGGTACCATCTGGATTCTCCTCGAATATAAAGGGTATTATAAATGTGCCAGAGAACAAATTCTGTAACTTAAAGTCCCATGACTGTCACGTTCTCATGGCGTAATTACTTCCAGTTGCATTAAGAGGAATTCTACCTCTAAATGTACGTCTAGCCACCGTGAAGCTATGTGCATTCCTCAATGCAATTTCTCAGAAGGCAATTGATCCAACTGATCTAGCTAAACTACAGAATGATGTGGTTCAATGTCTCGTCTGCTTTGAGTTGGTGTTCCCTCCTTCCTTCTTTGATATCATGACACACCTCCTAGTTCACCTAGTCAAGGAGATTTTCATTCTCGGTCCTGTGTTCCTACACAACATGTTCCCCTTAGAGAGATTCATGGGAGTCCTAAAGAAATATGTTCATAATCATGCTCGCCCAGAAGGAAGCATCGCAAAGGGCTATGGAACAGAAGAGGTCATTGAGTTATGTGTTGACTTTATTCCCGACCTTGACTCGATTGGTGTTCCTGAATCGAGACATGAGGGGAGACTAAGCGGAAAGGGGACACTAGGGAGGAAAACATATATTGGTACGGAGGATGATTATTTCAATAAAGCACACTACACAGTTCTACAGAACTCCTCTTTGGTAGATCCATATATTGAGACACACAAGGATCTCTTACGATCCGAGTTTCCAGGGAAGACTGAA